AAAATAAAAATTATCCTTAAATTCTTAACCTCAAAATAAAAGAAAAAATTGTTTATAATTCTTGGACAAAGGGAGGAGATGGAAGGAGAAACTTGTGGCTCACGTAGAAGACTTGGAAATGGAAACCGAACTTTTCCTCCATTACATTGCACCAATCGACTCCGTTTTTGTTTTGTTTTTGGTTTTATCTAACCTATTTCTTTTTGTGTTCCCCAAAACTTTTTTAAATTAACTAGAGAAACTATTAAAATTGGGCATTATGCGTATTCTTTGGTCTAAATTGCTTGCCTTGACTTTGATTTTTTTATTATATTAAAATTAAAAATTTGATTTACAGTTTGAATTGTATTAAACTGTAAAATAGAAATTATTGAATAAGAGAAGTCTCCAATATCAAGAGACTCATCTCTTATCTAATAATTAATATAGTACAATCAAGTATAATTCAAATTGTGCTACACTTTTTTGTATTATAATTCTCCAATTTACTAACTATTGGTAGTAACTTGAGCCTCCAGTTTGTTTCTATAAGTTGAGAGCTTGATTCTCCTTTTGATTAAAGTAGGCATTTAAACCTTTATCTCATTAAATTTGAAGTTTTTAGCTCATCATTTTATACTTTTTTTTAACCCCTAAACTTAAAAGTTTGAAAATTTTTGCCTTAAAACTAATATAATCTGTTAACTTTCTGTTAAAGTAATAATAAAATATTTACAATGTTAGTTTTTAAAAATTAAAAACATAACAATTTAGTTTTAAAAGATTAAAAATTAAAAAATTAGTAAATTAGATGACTTTGTCATATACACGAGAATAGTATTAGATATTTACAATCAAATTAAGTGATTAATTTAATTTAAAGAAAAAAATCTAATTGAGATTAAAGAAATTTTTTTTGGTGTATTATTCTAGTCTTTTAACTCAACTAAGAAAACTTTTATTTTAACTTAGCCAAGAAATTTTTTGATTGTATTAGACTTTTTATCTTAACTCAATTAAATTTTTTTTAAAATTTTAATTAGAATTTTTTCTTCAAATTGAGCTAATCTCTTAATTTGATTACAAATATCTAATATTGTTCTAATACATGTGAGAAAGTCATCAATTAATTTTTTTTAGTTTACTATTTTTTTTTAATTTTTAAACTTTTAAAACTAAATTGTTACATTTTTAATTTTTAAGTATTGATCATATAAATATTTTATTTTCACTTTAACAGAGAGTTAATAGATTTTGTTAGGAGAATTAACATATTTTATTGGTTTAGGGATTAAAA